TAAAGTGAATGGGTGGACAACCCAGTTACCCCCAGCTCCTGAAAGGGAGAAGCTAGCGTTAATAGCAATCACAACATTAAAGAGAAAGTAGAAGAAATCGGAACAGGAAAGTACAAAAAAAGATACGACGACTGAGTCTTTCAAACCGATTCTCAGAAATACGATGACGCTAAGAGTGTTGGTTAGCAGACCCCATGCCGTGGCGGGGATCATGAGTAGATACACTGTCAATCGCAGGACAAAATCCATTGTGGGCTTACTCATCAAAACTGAGACATCCTTTACCGAAGTCGCCTTTGGCACAGACAAAACACTGTAGTTGGACATTCTGCTCGGGGTCCAGTGTAGCCAACCAAACAAAGTGATATTCAGATGTAATGTTTTTTGTTTTTCCTCTAACCTCTCTATTGTATTTTGACCATTAAGGATCTTAGTTTTATCGTTGTAGTTTAAGTATTGTCCTGTGGGTAGCTATAACAGTGTAGCACTCGAATTCTTTAAGTTGTAGCTGATTTGGCTCGCTTGGACGATGTATCCTTAAGTAAACTTCTGAACTTTCCTTTGTCTCTCTTTGCCAATTTGCAAAAGGATAAATGGATACTCGACAAAAATCAGAGCCAGAATACGGCAGAGATATAGTTTGAGATCATCACAGGCTACCATTCTGAGACAAATTATAACAATTATAAAGAGTGAGGCAGAAAAAAAACAGCTACATGTACATTGTATTATTAACAAATTGAGCTACAGATCGTAGGGGATACACAACTATGCACCATAACTTTCGCTTTTACTTCCCTTGCAATTTTCGTTTCTTGCAAATGAATAGTTCGCTGCGGTGTTTTCTTTAGCAAACTTTTTTTTTTTCATTTCTGAGATAACAAACCGGTAAATATACTCTTTTTTCGCGTTTGCATGGCAATCATCTTTAAGACTCACGTGTTTAAGTTTAAATTGCCCTCCAATTCTCTTTGTTCAAAGGCAACGCTCTCAGTTTGCAAGGAAACAAAAGTATGTTGTTGTTGCAAACGTGAAATTACCACACTCCTCATTTTCCTCCCTTGTGTTAAAAAGAAGTAATGACACCATGGAAATGAAAAGGTAAAACGCCGATAATACAGCCGCCCTTGGTATAACAGGTTTTTAATTATTGGTGTTAGCCATTCCTTTTTTTTTAACGCATGCTTATCTATTCTCGGGCCTTCCGATAGAAATCAATTTCATTAAATAAGTGCACAGTATTTCAATTTACCTTTGCGGAGTAAAGGTATCAGAAAGTTTTTATTGACTTCCTAATCCCTCACTATAAATTGAAAGGCAGCAACATGAGAACATAAAAAAGTAGAGATGTTAATAGAATCCTCGGTAAATTTAACAGCTGCACATTGTTCTCTTTTTCTACTCATAGTTCAGGACATCGTGTATGATTACCTTGTCACTATATAAACTAGTCAACAAAAATTAAGGAACATTTGAGAAAAAGTGTATAACTTCGAAAGAAAACTCCAACACGCAATGGGATTTGGTACACTTTTTAATCAACATGTGTATAGCAAGTACCAAAAAAGAAAATTAAGTTATTCTATTTTAACTTGCTTGAAAAGTTAATCGAGTTTGGTAGGGGTTAAAATCCCAAATCCCAAAAATTGTCAAGCGGTTTCGAAGTTATTTTAACTTCTGACTGCAACAAAAACAAAACAGTTCAGATGATTTCAATAATGAGTATGCCCACCACATTTGTCCTGGCACTTAGTACACCGGCTCCTCATCGAGTTCATGAGGTTGGTGAATACTCTCTGAGGCGTCCCCTGTCACTCTGCCTACAGCATCTGAAACAGTTGCTGCGCGTCTCCTGGAGGGGTGTGGTTGTCTCTGACTCGACGTTGCAGCTCATCCCAGAGGTTTTCTATGGGATTCAAGTCCGGACTGCAGGCCGGCCAGTCCATTCGGTTGATGCCAGCCTGCTGCATGAAGTTTTGGACAAGCAACGCTCTATGAGGTCGGGCGTGTCATCCTGGTACACTGCATGTGGCCCCATCTGCTGCAGAGTGGGTAGTGCTAATGGACGGAGTATCTCATTTCGGTAACGTATTGCAGTGAGATTCCCTTGCACTTGGTACAGAGGTGTTCTGTGGTTCAGACTGAAAGCACCCCATACCATCACGGAACCACCTCCAAAAGGCATCACTTCTCTGACGGCTTCATAGAGGAGCCGCTCTCCGGGTCGCCTCCAAACCCTGATACGGCCGTCATTGTGATGCATAGAGAACCGGGACTCGTCGCTGAAGAGAACATTTGCCCACTGTTGACGTGTCCATCTTACTTGGCGTCGCCAAAAGGCAAGACGAGCAGTCCTGTGTGCTGGGGTGAGACGCTGGCGGACTGCTGGTCGACGTGCATTAAGTCCAAACTCATGAAGACGTCTTCGTATTGTCTGACAACTAATGTTAACACGAGTTGCCGCTCTCAGCCGTGTCCGGATGTGATTTTCTGGAGCGGATCTCGACTGCGGAGCCTGTTTATGAATGAATCGGTCTTCCCTTGCATTAGTGGCTCTTGGTCGACCTGATCTGGGTCGCTCTTGGGCACTACCAGTGGCGTTGGCACGCTGAATCAGCCGTGAAATGACAGAAACGGACACTGGAAGACGTGTAGCAACTTGTCGGAGTGAAACACCATCTTGCACCTAAGCAATGGCTCGTCCTCTGTTTACATCAGACAATTTCTGTCGAGGAGGCATGTTTATGCTTAGCCCTACAGAAGCAGAATGGTGTATCCACAGTGCAAATGAGCGAGTGCAAGTCACTCACGAGACATGAATCTTGCAATTGGAAACTGATTTTTGAACGTTCATAATTTTTTCTGACTGTAAGAGCTAGAGAATAAAAATCGATAATTGGAAAATATTGGACCTTTTTGCCCCCTCCCCAGCTCATAGCACAGGAGTCACGTGCACTTCAAACCCTGGTGTGTACACTCCCATTAGTCATAGAGTAACATTTCACCAATATCTAGTTTTACGAGTAAAAGTAGAACCTCGAAAGAATGCATACAAATATATCACTCTTTTTACAGTACGTTCCTTAACTTTTGTTGACTAGTTTATATTATTTTTTAAAAATTATTTATTTATTTGTTTTTAAAAATCTGTTGTTGTTGTTGTTGATGCTGTTTTTGCCAACAGTCCAAATAATTCCGCCATCGTTTTCTTCTCTATTTGCTTAACACGTCTCAATTATTCCCATGTGGCAGTTTTTCCATAGCCTTTGAATTATGGCATATTATCCTCTTTTTTGTGTTGATGTTGGCTTTTGGAGGTTTGGTTTTTGTTTTTTACTTTTTAGAATATATCCGTCTTTCTGACAGGATAATGTATCCCATACATTCAGGACTGATTCTGATTAGGAAAGCGGAATCAGCACGCCTCCTGAGTGATCCAAATTATGTCGAATGGAGCGTAAAAGATCAGACAACATTACAGTTTTCCTCCCACTATGTGATCATTAAGTCCTACTTAGAGTGTGATTCAAGAGTGCCACAGGCAGGTCTACTCCTTGGCTGTTCGTGACGTATCGTATTCTTTCCCATGATTACTGTCTAGTTTTTCCACAACAGTAACTCCCCATTATTGTGTCATGGAACGTAGCCTTTAAGTCAAACACAGGATTTAATAATATAAATACATTCACGAATAATTATTTTTTCTCAGTTTAAAAAAAAATGTTATTGAATTGGTACTCAAGCAGTAGTCTCAATGCACAACGAACAGTAGATGACAGATAATTGAAAAATAGCCTCACTTACACACAGAAAACTGTGCAGCATATTATGTAACCGAGACTAGGGAGAAGATTTTTTTTGGTTTTATTTGTTAGTTTGAAGCTAACAACTCTTCATAAACGCTGAAAGGTTTAGGAGAGAAGAGCATTTTTCCATCTACGGCTTTCCATTTGGAATCCCTTCTCTTATAATAAGAATCAGACAGGCGTCAATTTTGACTAAATTTTAAAAGAGCTCGAAGACTCATCTTTTTAACTGCTACTTTGTGATCTAACCCATCTGTGATCAGATTTTATCATATTACCAAATCCAAGTCATACCGTTTTTGTCAACTACATAGCATAGGGTAACTGCTGGTCTGTTTTGTCATGTGATGACATCATGGTTTGTAAACATAGTACACTTTATGCCACGTTTATCCCATGAGTAGGCTTACGTCTTTCACATGGTGAGTTGTCAACCACAATCAAGCCTTATTATGTCCAACTGGGTGTTCAATTATGTATTCATATGCACTTCTAAGTGCATACTTATTTATTGTACTTAGGTCGTTCAAAAAGTTTTGACTCCTCTCCAATAACTTCTAAACTATTCAAGATATCTTCATGAAATGTGTACACAATTGACTTTCAAATGTATACTCTCAAAGACAAAAACAGTTATGCTATGATGTCACACCTTTATGCTATTGCTGATTACATCATAGAAGCTAGGGTACATTGTCGCCGAGAAAATGGCGTCCAGCAAACTTATGAATGTACGCTTAAAGCAAAGAGCTGTCATTGAGTTCCTTACAGCAGAGAGAGTTGCACCCATTGATATTCATAGGCGAATGAAGCTTGTCCATGGCGAAGCATGTGTAGTGTAAGTACTGTTCGAAGATGGGCAAAGGAGTTCGCTGAAACCACTCTCACCTAGCCCCAAAAAGTTCAAAGTTGTTTCATCTGCAAAGAAAGTGCTTATGACAGTGTTTTGGGACTGCGATGGTCTGATTCATATGGAATTTTTGGAACAGGGTTCCACTGTCAACTCTGAACGATATATTGAGACCCTGAGGAAACTTAGAGCACTGCTGGCACGAGTTCGTCCCGGAAAAAATGCAATTTTGGACCACGACAACGCCCGTCCACACACGAGTCGACAAACTCAAGATGCCATGAAAAGTCTCAGATTTCAAGAGACCTTACCGCACCCATCATACAGTCCAGACCGTGCTCCATCTGACTTTTATCTTTTTCCTAAGTCAAAGGAGTATCTCAGAGGAAAACGTTATGCAGATGACGATGAAGTTCAAGAAGATGTGCATCGCTGGTTCAGAGGAAATCCACGTGAATTTTTCGCCGACGGCATGCGACAACTTATTCGACGTTGGCGGATCTGCATCGACAAAGAAGGCGACTATGTTGGAAAGTAAAGGTACAGTCATGTAGCAGACATCGTAAGCTTTCGTTTGGTGTATAACTTTTGTATGTAGCATCAGTCATAAAGAAATTATGAACTGGAGGCAAAACTTTTTGAACGACCCTCGTAGTTGTGGATTTAAAAAATGAATATACCAAAATGTCAAAACTGTGTATTATTCTTTCAACAGAGGTTTGTTGGATTTTGTTGTTGTTGTTGTTTGCATTATTATTGATTTTGAATTTGTGTTTGCTGTATTTAATTTTAAAGACTTGTAATGCACATTGAGCATTTCGTCAAGAGGAAAACGGGCAATATAAATACAGTGCATTATTTATAATAATTTGTTAATGTATAGTCTTTTGTCTGGTTATGTTACTTACAACTTTCGGAACTACAACAGGCTCTCACAAACGTTGCTTACAGGTAAAGTTTGCGAAGTTGTCTACCCGCCTTGCGGTCCACCAATTGACTGTTCAGCACTCCGGAAGCAGGATCCTGGGGCAAAATGCCCCGAAGTCCAGTGTGAGCCAATCCGCACCTGTATTGAACAAAAGCCCGTGATCTCCTGTGCCACTGTGCGTTGTGCTACAGAGACAACATGTCAGATGGTCGCACCTCCCTGCGTCGGAGGAGAGCTTTGTGAACCATCACGACCTGAATGTATACCTATCTGTACTAAGAAATGCCGCCAAGGTTTCAAGTGCGAAAGTAGTCAACCCCCGTGCCCGGCACCTGTTGCGTGCCTGGATAGTGAATCCCTCAGCTGCACAACACCTACGTGTCCCTATTTCCAAAGATGCACTGACCTCAGACCAAAGACCTGTGACAAGTTGCAGTGTTCTGGCGGAAAAGAATGTCAGATGATCACAGACACTTGTGGTCGCCGTAGGCTCTGTCGTAAGAAGCCGAAGGCAGAGTGTGTTCCTGTCTGCAACAAGAAATGTGGACGCAACCGCGAATGTAAACTCACTTCAAGATGCCCACTTGACGGTAGCAAGTGTAAGCACACGCAGAAGTGCAAGCGTAAACCAGGAATTTGTCCAAAATGCCGGCCCGGTAAGGAGTGTGCCTTGCGCCAACCAAGATGCGCAAGAGGACGGAAGTGCAAGGCACGTTTTGTTTGCGTCCGTAGCCGAGGGAAATGTCCTCGTCCCCCAACCAAGAAGCCTGGCAAAAATTCCTACATTTGTAAGAGAGAGCGTAGACGATCTCATCAGTGTGTTAATGACAGCCACTGTAGAACAAATCAGAAATGCTGTACCTCGAAGTGCGGTCGCAAGATCTGCATGAGACCAAAGAGACGTTAAATTTATGTCATAAATGTTGCTGGAAACAAAAATACTTTTTTGTTGGGTATAGGTACAAGTGCCATGTTTAAAATGGGCTCTTAACATCAGAAGGTGACATTCCATTAGGCTTTCTTATCCTTAAAGGGCGCAGATATTATATCAGCCTTAAAACTCATTCTCTTTGTTTGAGGTTGTAGGTCCTGTGGGTTTTTCTTCTTTTTTGGGGGGGTCTGTTTTTTTACGTCGGGTGCAGATATTTACGACACAAAGGCTGTGTCATTGCTCTTACTTTTCTTGTTAAAGTGATCTTGATCTCACGGATGTTTATTTCTCAGTTATTTTTATCTAGCCAGCAATTATAATTCTATACTCCCTCCTTCCCCCTGTAACTGTTCTATCTTGCTGTTTCTAGTTCTGACGGTTTCAGTAATATATTATATTTTGTCAATCCATTTGTCCACCAATGAGGTTCTCTGCCTTTGTTCGAGTCTTTACAGATGTTGCCTGATTTCGCAAAAAATTACCCTCTTGTGGCTTAAAAAACGGGGAAGTGTTCTCATAAAATGTGTTATCAAAATAGAAATCTTACCCTTTGAAGTCAGCTCTTGTAAGTTAACTTTTCTTTTTACCCTACTTTGAAGCTTGCCCTTTGCTGAAAGTTTTTCAAAGATAACTAGCTGATCCTCACAAAACAGAAAGTACAAAGTGATTTTGGGAAACAATTTTCAAAAATAAACTTGGTCTGTTGCACGTTACAAATTGACTTGAGTGATGTCTATTTTCTATGAAATCTCAGGCTCATCCATCTTTTAGTTTCTATGCAGGCCGAGAAGCTAACCTAAGGTTTGGTGCAGATGTAGCGCCCCTATAAAAACTGTAGTAAGTTAAAAAAAAGTGGTGTTCTTCGATAAAAGTGATTTTGCCTGTCCCTCAAGGATCCGAAAACTTATCTTTGAAATAATCATGTAGTATCTCTCAGTTTAAAACAAGCAAAGACACACACACGCAGAAACATAAACACACTCACACACACACACACACACACACACACACACACACACACACAAACACACACACATAAACATACACACACATACACACACACACACACACACACACACACACACACGCCTCGCGCGCACACGGACAAGGTCCACTTGTAGACTCGCAAAATTTTACTATATTTCAAGGTGGGTGTTTTTACAGCCTAATCGACACAATTTAGATCAGTCAGGAAGCGGATTTCCGATCCTGCCTATGAAGGCCAACCCGGGCTGGGAGAGATACAACATCCCAGCAGGAAGACTGATATGCTCAATAAAAATGCCCCCCCCCCTCCCCCCATTCTGGAATTTAACTCGTGCCTCCTTTATGTGACAGCCAAGCGCCGAACCGCTACACCTCAGACGCTTTTAGGCTCGAAGGAATGAAGGGAATATACAATGGTACAACATCTGAAGTGGCGTCTGGAAATCTCGATCGGCATCGCTTCAGCCATTCTCTTTGACATTTTTACTGGACAACTATCTAAGCTCATAATATAAAATTTTGAAGCTACGGTCAATGACAGATAGACACAGTAGGCACCCTACAGTATAAGGCCAAATGAAAATTAGACAAGGCAGCACATGAATGATAGAGCACAGCAGTAGTTGTAATGAGACTCACAACGGGTTAAACAGTAATGGGACAGGTTTTTTGTTTGTTTGTTTATTTGCTTGTTTTCATTTATTAAAATTTATAGCCTGCTCTATCTCATGTGGTTTGCTCGCATCCGCGATTGACACGACTTAATTTATTTCACGGGCTCTAAATAATCAAAGGAGATGAGAATTGAGGATGGAAATAAAAGGCATCAAAAATTGCCTGCAGCAACAAGACCATCAATTTTTTAAACCGATAAGCACTACCTGTTATCTGTTCATCGATCCGAGGTTAAATAATATGCTTGCACTTGCACCCTTTAGGAAAACGAAAGCGAAAGTACTAAAGAGTAGGGAAGAGAAACCTATTATTATTATGCTTTGTACATAAGATTCATAAGTTGTACTCTGATTTGTAGAATTCTAAATCATTCGTTATTTTAACAGACATTAATTTGGGCACAGTTCATTTCCTTGTTACTGTAGTAGACTATGGGCTACTGGAACCCCCCCTCCCCCCCCCCCCTGGGGATTTTTGCTCACTATGATTTTCTGAAAGAGCACACTCAGGACTATGCACACAAAAAAGTTTGCACCAAAATGTTGGCAATCTGCGGAGTTATTGCCCCTGCTTTGTCGAAAATTGACCAAATTAACTTTTTTTTTAAATTCACTTTTTTAGTTGGTATTTTAATTTTCTTTTAATTGAGACTAAAGTTGGCGTTGTGGGTTAAAGAAAAACAGTTATATTGAACATTTTGTGGTAGTTATTTACATAGCTTATAGAGAAAAAAATAATGTTTTAAGTCCGTTTTCTCTAAAAATTGAAAACAGCGGCACAAAGTTAGCGTAATAATATACTCCCTGCTGGGTATTACACAACAAAGGAAAAGCTACACATGCAAAACATTTAGTTCAACAGAAAATCAGTACAATGCAGAGTTACAGACAGGCCTTAGCAATGCAGATGGATATTTGCTATTTGTGTACATGATGTATTATATTGAGTTGTCTCGTACAAAGAAATTTATATAATTGAGAAAGAGATTATAGCATCTAGAAATTGACTTGCATAGAGCATAATATGTAACAGAAGTGAGTTGCTTGGGTGCTAGTTATCCAATTGTTATACTGTAAGTCAGTTGATGTTGCATGTAAAGTCTTATTTAGATGCTTTCTATGTCATCAGTTCATCTTCACTGCTGTCACTTCCAGAATCTGAAATCTCATCTTCTTCATCACATATGATAGAGGAGATGGTTTTCATCTTTGTCTTCCTCTTGTTCTGTATCTGATCGTGACAAAATATCAACCAATTGTTGAGGGACCAAGTCTTTGCACCACTCCACTGAGAGCACTCCACCATTATCTCTCTTCCAACCAAGATCTTGCGGATCAGGTACATTTGTATTAATGGTTGAGCCAGATGTGCTTGCTTCCATATTAAAGTTTAATACTATTAATAGTTTACGCCTAGGATGTCAGCTTCAGGGCTTCTCTCGCATGGTGTCAAATCCATCAAAGCATGACAGTAAGCTTTGACCTTTTGCCATGTACTTTAGCCTTACAAGGTCATGATGAAACTTGTTAGCGCTAGAGTAAGCTGGTTTTCCGTACAGGTGACTAACAAACGTTTCCAGATTGGAAAACAGTTCTGAAGAAACAGTTTCAGATGTTCCTAGCTCCCTGAATGAAACAGCAAACTCTGGGTGCCTGTGGAGAATGGTGAGCGGCTTCACTTTTCCTCTCTGGACAAAATCGCTAGACTCCTTACATCCAAAGAATGCATGGAGTCCAAGAATAGAATCCTGTAAATGTGTTTCCATTTTGGAACAGAGGGTCTGAATGTGTAGACATTTTCTTTTTCCCAACCCGTGTCAAAATTCAAACTGTGTGTGAAATGTTGAACAAATGCAATCATCAGTAGAAAGACATCAGTGTCTGGGGACCGAATAATGATGTCTGTGTTTGGAGTAGCAATGTTCTGATCTCTGGTGTCGGCTGGGGAATGTATGGCTGCTCTTTGATTTCTCGTATGACTAGTCCATGAGTTGAATGTGTGGATCCAGTTCCTGATAAAGTTTCCTCATTCAAGTCAAAATTGTCCCAACAGAAGTGAGTGATGAGGTTGTTGTCAGGCATGATGGATGGGGCCAAACTACCTGAAGAAAGCTGTATACTGTCACACATGGCAGTTTCCACTTCTAAGAGAAATGAGTGGGATACAGAATGTCCATGCTGGTTTAAGATATTGATCAGCTCAGTGTTTCCTGTTGGATGACGGACACATATACCAATCATGATATGTTAAAGCTTTTTCCTTTCCCCTTTCGTCACATTGTAGCATATGTCCTGACCTGTAGAAACAACTCTCCTGTGGCATCTTGTTGACTGTGGTTTTCCATTCTTAGAGTAAAGAAAGGAAAGAAATATTGTACATACATGTGGAATCTGCTAAGTTTCTGTGCGCAGATCTGTGTCTGCTGAAAGCCAAGGTAACTTTTCACTTTCATTGCATCCATCAAGAACAGGTCGTCGTATCACCTTTGCCCCTTCTATTACAAGTCTCTCTTCAGAGGTTACATTTTCAAAGGCAACTCCGACAGCCTGCCCAGTTGAAATTTCATCAGAGTACATGAGATCACTTGTCCCAGAATATCTCTGCCAGAAGTTGATCCTGGACTTGAAGTGCTTCACACGTTTCTCCTCAACTTATATGTCTTTTAGTACATGTAAAACTCTGGATAATTTGTTTGCATGAAAGTGCAATACATCTCTTTCAAAAGACTAATCCTAACAACAAGGGCCAGCGCAGTGACATGTTCTTCCACAAACTGACGGACGTGCTGAAAAGCCTTGGAGTGGGCTTCTTCCTCTGCAGCTGGAGCTTTCTTTCTTTCTTCAGCTTCTGCCTTTTCTTCTCCAGAACAGTATTTAGATGTAGAAGCTTGTGAACGTCGATCTTCCTTACGTGTGTAAGCTTTTCTACTTGGTTCATGATACAATGCCTCTTGGGCAATAAGAACAGCATTTTCAATTGGGCCCCGAAGTTTTGATTCAGTTTTCCTGTTTACAGCTTCTTTTACAGAGGCTTCAGATGTTCTGTTAACATATTTGACTACTTTATGAACTTTCTTGGTTCCCATGCTGTCATGTGTCCATTTAGTAGTCTTTTCACAGAAAAGGCATTAAATAGACAAGAGGCGTGTTGAAAACGATTGCATTACCTTTTTCCTAGTGGAGCAAGACCCTTCTTGTGCTGATTTGTCAGACTCTCCTGATGAATGCCTTTTTCTTAGACTCCTCAAATTGATGAATGTATTGTAGCAGTAATCATGAAACCCATGTTGAGCAGTCAAACTCAGTTGGTATTCTTTCACAAATTGAGGATAGTCTATCACTGTCAGTTTCTGCAAGGCACCGTTGTGTTTTTGATTTTTGAATGGTGTCCCAGCGTCTCTCACTTCATCATGGCCTTTGAAGTTAGTTATGCACTGCACATGTCCTTTCTTCAAGCTGTTCTTTCTTTTGAGATTTTGACCTCTCTTTCTTTGATGTCAAGGGAACTGATTTCAGTTCTATCTTTTGGACATTCCATTCATTCTCTGAAGCATACTCATATAAAGAAAATTGTACATTGCTAAAAAACCAAATTTTTCACCTGTCTTCTTTTAAATTAGCTTTAACTAACAAAATGTTTTTTAAGACACCTTTGTCATGCCCAAATGATTGATCTAGACTATATCTGAGACAAAATTACTCATGCCGCCTTTTTGACGTTTTTAAAATGATGCGCGGCAGTTTTGTATTTTTTCAATATAGCAATAGCAAGGGTCATAACTCCTTAACTCATAGTTATTTTGCACACAATCCTTCTCATTTTGTGCCTCAAACTTTGAGTCAAAGTGTGTACCTATCAGAAAACTATTGTATCAAGTTATAGAAGATTTGAAGCAATGGAATTAATCATTTCTATAGATTTTGAGAAATCAGCCTTTGAATTTTCTTTTTTCCTCTTTGCACCTTGTAATTAATTAGCAAACAATTTTTTTTACAACACTTACATCATATTATAATATTTGAGTTTTACATCATATGAAAGTACACATTTTTGGCTTCACAGAGAACCCCAAAATAAAAATCAAGTATCTTCTTAATTTCTGGACAATCAAGGGCCGTAACTCTGTAGATTGCCAACATTTTGGTGCAAACTTTTTTTGGGGAAGTCCCTAGGTCCTACCCTTTCAGAAAATCATGGTGGCGAAAAATCCCCAGGGGGGGGGGAGGTTCACTCCCAGTAGCCCATAGCCTATAGCCAAGCGAATACGCTCCTGGTTTTACCCTTTTAATGCAACCTTGGATGGTCGGGGATCAAGGTGTCTTGTCGATGATTTCCCATTTTTTAAAACTCTTGCAA